ATTTCTTCTGGTTAACTTTGGCGAGATTTTGTTGAATATACTTCTAAAAATATGTTCATTTGGTATTTTCGTAAATAGTTGCTATGGAATAAAGTAATCTATTTTTCCCCATTTAATTTTTATGTTAAATTTGGTGATATTTGTTAAACATACTCTTAAAAATATGAGATGGGATACGAACAGGACGGTAGTTGCTGTCAAGCCACACAACCGTTCCTCTTGCTTCCAAAATACGCTGTTTTTTAGATATACCAAAAGGATTCGAATCAGAACACACGTAAAAACCAACACAAAGGCTTTGATGAGAGCAACAAAATTAACCTCTTGATTTGGAATTTTATAGATGAACTGTTCAAAGTAAATGCGTGCCACAGATGTCCCAGATATCCTCGTTTTCACCACAAACTTGTTTCCACTCTGCTCAAAGAAATCAAATAAATATTCAAAATATTGAAATTATAAAATGTGACCAATATTCAAGGAGAAGAGGGGTCAAAATTACACGTAAAGGTGCGATGAACTTTATTGTCAACTCAGGAATTGCCAACGCTTGACCAGAACGGGATATTTCATCACAGTTGACACCGATACTCTCCAGACACTCTTGTCGACCTTAGAATGAAAACACGTCAACACAATAGACAACAGTTTATAATTTTCAAAAAAAAAAACAGATAACAGTTCAGGGCTTTGTAATAATCTGAAGGAAGCAGCAACATTTGCAACCCAACTAAACTAACCGTATTGGCAGTAGTTTGCGTAAACGGCATTGTTCACAACACCAAACTGATCCAGTTCATAATCGCGAACTTTGAGTTCAGTCGCATGGAACCCACTCATTCTGCCATATGAGTTTTTCAATAAGATTATGGATCAGATACATTAATCATTGAGCTGTTCTGGATCAGATATGAAACTCTAGAACATTTTATTCAAGAGCGCAATTTCACATTTACACAACCAATTTCACAAGAGAAACAAAAGTAAAATTAGAGAGTGTATATGTACCCTTGGCCTCCTTTCAGATCAACACATGCGACCGGTTTGCAAGTCTTTGTGCTCCGGAGAGGCAGGACAAGAGGTCGTCTCCACGAACATGGAAACACCACAGGGATAGCCTGAGCTGCCAACATGGCACTTTTTTCGGGTGACGATGTTTTTATGTGATGAGTAGTTGAAAGCTTTTTTTGTTCGGACAAGGGTTTGTGAAAATTGGTTTCAGTCACATTATGTATATATATCGGTGTTTTTTTTTTTTTTTGAAATACCTT